CCCACCCCCTCCAGCCCACCCACCGCTGCCCCATAGTGCGCACCTCCTTAAGTGTGGTCTCCACGAGTGTGCTAAGCTTGGAGAGGACCTCTTTGACCTGTACCAGAATCTGGAAAACAGGACAGACTGTGAGTGGGACCAGCTGGAGGGCCTGCCACCACCCTGGGCCCTGGGAACCCGGACTGCCCAGAAGACACTGCTGCGCTGAGGCAGAGTGGGCAGAGGAGGAAGGGGAGGGAAGGCCCGGATGAGTGGGTGCTGGCCGGGGCTGGAGGTGGCCTCTAAGCTGTGTTCTGGGTGGCCTGTGTGGTGTATAAACATCAGGATTATTTCACATAAAAACCTTGATTCTTTCTTTCTCTTATAGTAATCAGCATCATGAGGAAACATACAGATGAATCCAGATTGTAGACCAGCTTATAACACAAGTGACCTGGACACATCTAATGTCACTGTCATCAAAGAGTGTCCTCAAAAAGGTGTGAGACTTTCTAGATGAGAAAAGGTAAAAAGGCAGATCATATATAGTATTTGAGCCTTTAATGGATTCTGGATTTTTTTTAAAAAAGCCAAAAAAGATGTTTTGGGGAAAACTGGGAGAAATTAAAATATACGTCTGAGAAATGCAGATTAAAGATGACCTTGATAATGTCATGTATATTTGCCAGTGTTTCCAGATTTTATGGACGGCCTATGCACTGTTTGCTTTAGTCAACATTATCATATTAGTGGCAACTTGCCAAGGTGAGACAACTGAATGGCAGTCACACAGGAAAATGTCCTTGATTTTAGGAGATACAGGTTATAATGGCTGCAACTTATTCTCAAATGTTTCAGGAAAATAAAAGAAAAAAAGTACATGCACACACACGCACACACACACGCACGCACACATAAGTAGACAAAGTAAATGTATCAAAATGTTAACAGTTGGTGACTCTAGGTGAAGGATACGTGGATGGTAATTGTACTGTTCTTTCAAACTTTCTGTATGTTTGGGTTTGACAATTTCCAAAATAAAAAGTTGGGAAGAAAATAAAAGTGTTAAAAAAAAAAAAAAGTGTCAGACTGTAGAAAGTTGCAAAAGACTGTCACTCTCACCCTAATGATGAGAACAAGTCAAATAACCAACAAAATCAAATTAAAAAAAAAAATCATACGAAAGCCAAGAACTCAGAGAAACTGAAATTAATCAAACTGCAGACAGCGACGAGCCCCTCCTTGGGGCAAAGAAGCCATGTCTACTCTCCTCCTGGCAGTGCGGTGGGAGGGCAAGATCTGCCAAAGCTGAGTGCAAGGAGAAGCCAGTGGAACAAACTGGCTGTGTGTGGGCTGGCGTGACGGAGGAGAACCCCAGGGAGCCCAGCCTCAGTATGCCTCAGCCCCACCCTCCAACTCTCCCACACGGCTTCACAGAAGGCTGGGCCCAAGGAAGCAGGGTGGAGAGAGACCTCCTGAGGCACAGAAGTGGGGGGCGAGACTGCAGAGCAGAGAACTCCACAGCAACCTCAAAAATCAGGTGGCAGGGCTGAAAAACAGATCTCCCACAGTTCCCAAAGCTGGTGACTTTAAAATATCCCTGGAATTTTGCCAGGGCTAAGATCCTAAACCCTGCTGAAGGGAAAGTCCTCAAAACATTAAAGCCGGTGGAGGACTAATACAAACAAAAACTACCCCTAAACTGCAGATTAGGTCGACACAGCCCCTCACTCTTGCAGCCTAACAGAAGACAGGGGAGCCATTTCCTAAGAAAATATTTATTTACCTCAGTCTCTACTGTTCTTTTACATGAAATGTCTAGCATACAATAAAAAATTGACAACAGGACCTGGCCAGTTAGCTCAGTTTGTTAGAGCACAGGGGTCAAGGGTCAAGGGTACAGCTCCCTTACTGGCCACCCCCCCCCCAAAAGAAAGGAACTGACAACAGAGGCAGACTCTAAGATGAACCAGATGATGGAATGACAAGAGACTGTAAAATAACTACAACAAATGTGTTAAAGGACCTTGTGGGAAAGGTGGACAACATGCAGGAACATATGGGGCAGAGAGACAGAAACTATTAAAGAGCCCAACTAAATGGAAATGCTACAAATAAAAATACAGTATCAGAAATAAAGAATTCATTTGCTGGGCTTAACAGCAGTTAGAAAGAATCAGTGAACATGAAGACAACAGAAATTATCCAAACTGAGAAAAACAGACGGGAGCCGGCCTGTGGCTCACTCGGGAGAGTGCGGTGCTGATAACACCAAGGCCACGGGTT